TTAACAATCAAGGGGAGGCAAAAGGAGTACAAGAAGTTGCTAATTCATTTGAGCTTTTGAAACCCATTTTAGAGACAGGAAGATGGCTCAGTGGGTTGTTTTGTTGCAGTGGCAGAGACAGGAAGACCTTTGGACTCTGGGTTAGATAGTCCAGTTTAAAGTGAGTTCTAGTTTCAGCTAGAGACCTTGTCTCAAAAAATGGAGTGGAGAGCTACTGTGGAAGACACCTGATGTCAAACTCTGGTCTCCACATGTGCTTATATTCTGTATCTATGCCTCTAGGCCCCCCCCCCCGCCTCACACACACACACACTAGGAGAACCCCCACTCCCCACACACAAAATCCCACTTATTTTTAAGGCTTTTACTTGATTTCATAACCATGTAACGTTGGGAAGGACTTTTTTTTTTTTTTTTTTTTTTTTTTTTTGGTTTTTCGAGACAGGGTTTCTCTGTAGCTTTGGAGGCTGTCCCGGAACTCACTCTGTAGACCAAGCTGGCCTCGAACTCACAGAGATCCGCCTGCCTCTGCCTCCCGAGTGCTGGGATTAAAGGCCTGCGCCACCAACGCCCGGCTTCTGTTTGTTTTTTGTTTCTCTCTGTAGCCCTGGCTGTCCTGTAGGGCAGGCTGTCCTCACAGTCAGTGGTGCCTTCCTCTGCCTCCCTAGTGAGTCCTGGGATGAGAGTGCACCACCATAGCCTAGTTCAGGACGGACTTTTAAATAAGGGCAAGGGTGAGGTGGTGCATACCTCTAATCCCAACACTTGGGGAGGCAGTGAGTTTGGAGGGACAGCCTGGTTTATGAGTTCTAGGACAGTCAGTGGCTACACAAAGGAGCCCTGTCTCAAAACCGGGAGGGGGGAAAGGCAAGGGAAAGTGAAACAATCAGATTTGTGTTTCAACGATTATTTTGGATGATTAGAAAATATGAAAAATGGGACATTTCATTAAATTCCTTTTCATGTTGACAGTTACAGTCTTTCCTGGCTGCTAGCCAAACTAGTAACTAAAATCTGAAATTCAACCGCCAGTTAGTCAGAAACTTTAATTTAGATTTTTCAAAAAGCATTCTGGGACAAAATGAGTAAAAGCTCATGGCAGTTTTAGTCTTTAGTTAAAAATATTTTTCCTTCCTGTGGAACATCTTTTTAAGTTACTTATGTTCCATTAATTGGAATAGGTGAAAAAATGTGAGGACAAGTGCTCATTGACCATTATAGTAATTTCGCACAGGTGAATTCTCAGGAGCTGCAGTGTGTGGACTATGTTTCTAGGAAAATATGACTCCCAACATCACTGTGATATTTAGTATTAAAGGTTTCTTTTACCCATCTAGTAACAGCCAGAATACTAATACTGAGGTTATTTCTTTAAAGGCAGAATACCTTGCCGTAACTAAAGGGAAGAGACATAGCTTGCTTCCTCATGTCCCTCCAAACTAATGCAGTGACTATGCTGTTCATGGATCTAGCAAGGAAACAAGGAGTAACTACACGACCTTCAGTGCCTTGTTAATCTTTATGTTAGCACTTTAGCTAACACAGAGGTCTATTTTGAGGTCACTATAATCTTAATATTCTCCCTCCCCACTGTTTCAGTAATATCTACCCTTCTGTGTTTTATGTATGTCTTTTTTTTTCTCTTGAAAATGTTAGCATTTAATTAACCTCCCTGGGTGGTTCAATCCACCAGGACATAGGCATCTCCAACACCCTTTATCTTTTCTTCAGCTCTTCTGCTGAAAAATTTGGCTTTCACGATGACAGGCTGCTTAGGGAGCTTTCCATCCCCAGAACTTGGTAGTAGCCTGATTGTACAACATCAGTGATGGAAGCAGCTCCAGTCTTGTTCTTGGCAGCATTGATCAGTGTCCACAACTTATCCAGGTAGACAGTCGGGGAGTTCTGGTTCCTCTTTAAGTGGTAATACCTCATACCAACTTTACCAAAGTAACCTGGATGGTATTTGTCGAAGTTAACCCTGTGGTGATGCATGCCTCCAGCATTTCCTCAGCCTCCTGGATGCTTGCAGTGTTTACCAATGCGACCATGGCCATGGCTCACATTGCCCCAGAGTTTCCGGGTCTTCCTCAGTCTGGATGGCATGGTGGCTGCAGAAAGGAAAGAGCGTGTATGTCCATTTTAAGGATTTTGTACGGATGATGCAGCGTTTTCTTGTTTCTATAAATCAATCTGAAACTGCAGTAGATTGATTGTGGGTGAGTTTTTACCAAACTGGAAAGAATTTATTGGGAAAGCATCTGGCTAATTCTGATTGGTAGGGCCTCTTCTGAATAGGATGCCTTGATAAAAGGTAAGCAAAGAAACCCAGGCTTCAGTTGAAGGCTGTTAGGCTCCCAGAAGACCACTGTTGTTTCATTTCTGGAGCAGTGCTCATTATTACCTATTAGATTAATATATGCCTTCATATTGACTTGGTGGTGGTGGCATCTCAGACAGGGTTTTTCTGTGTAACCTTGGCTGTCCTGGAACACAGGGTGTAGACCAGGCTGGCCTGTAACTTACAGAAATCTGCTTGCCTTGCCTCCTGAGTGCTGGGATTAAAGATGTATGCTACCACCCCAAGCCTGAGACTGACATTTTAAAAATATCACTTATATTTTAACTATATACCTAGAGTTCTCCAAAAGATTTTTTTTCTCATAGAAGTTGGTTCCTCAACGAGAACCACAGTCCTTTGTGTTGAGTGTCTCCACCCCCCCCCGCGCCTATCCTTTCTTCCTCTCCCTTTTTCTTTTGTAAGTGGGGTCTTACCTGTTGCTTTGGCTAGCCTTATGCTCCTGCTCTCAACTGAGTCCTTCTCTCAGCTCTTTGAGTATGTAGACAACAGGCATGCACCGCTGTGCCTGGCCAGATGCCAATGATTCTTAGTTCATGTTAACCCCTGGCATTGGTCAGGTGACCTAAACACTCCCAATTTAACATTTTATACATATTTCACATTAATATTTGCATACTGCTATGATGGAACAGAATAGTGTGCCTTGTTTTTGTTCATTTAATACTCTGAATTTGACCCTCCTCTATGATACTGATGGTACATGTGATGCTGGAAATACAGATTGCAGTGCTAAAAAGATGGAGGAAAGGGGCTGGAGAGATGGCTCAGCAGCTAAGAGCACTGGCTGCTCTTCCAAAGGCCCCGAGATCAATTCCCAGCACCACATGGCATCTACAACCATTTGGAATCCTGTGTCCTGTTCTGTTGTGCAGATGTACATCTAGACATAGCATTCATACATAAAATGCGCAAGTAAAATCTTTTTAAAAAGATGGAGAACAGATGTGTTATAAGTGATTATTTCTCTCCCACATTGACCTAACGATAAAATAGTTTCCTGTGTGATTTCTTCTAGTTTGGGGACTCTGAGAATAACAATCCAAAATTTTCTTATCTCCTCCTTCCTTGACATGTCTTAAAAACAAAGAAAGAACATTAATTTTCTTACTTCAGTAATAGATTTTGGTTAGTTGGTTGGTTGATTGATTGATTGATTCATTCATTTGTTCATTTATTCATGGACATTGCCTCACTGTGCGTGCCTGGGTTCCCTTTGCTTTGCCTCCAATGTGCTAGGATTAAAGATGTGTCCACCACACCTGGTGTCGTTTTCTTTTAGAGGCAGGTAGGATCTGATTTTTGTAGATCAAGTTGGCTTTGAATTCCCAGTCATCTTAGATCCTGAAGTGTTGGAATGTAGGCAAATGCTGTCACACTTGCTGCAGTAGTTGACTTTTGTCAATGTATTGCTACAGCACTCAGTCCTTGTCCTTCAGATATCTGAGTGAAGAACTAGGTCTTCTCCCTACATACCTCTTTCCTTCTTTCTCACAGTTTTGCATGCTTTGGATCTGTAACTTATTTATGTTTGTATATGGAATGGTAAAAGATTGTATATGGTATAGAAAAGATTGTGGGACAAATTTGGATGTTTAATATGAAATAAAAGTGAGCTAATTTTACTTTTGATGCTGAAAAAAGTATTATGAAGATTGTAGCTAGGATTTAGCTGAAGTTTCTTTGTATTTGAGGGTGACTTGTATTTGAATGAAAATGAAGAAAGTTGATTACATAGAATTCTTTTCAACAAGATGGCTTATTTCTTTGCTACTATAGAAATAATGTCAAAATACCTCTATCAGAATGCTTCTTTGTAATGCTGTTTGACAGTTATAAATTTGTAGTGATATTTAGTTTTATTAAAAATGTAAAATCTTTAAATTTTTATAGCTAACATAAGTAAACTGATAGTCCATTTTGAAACGTGTTTATTTATACATGTAGAAATGATTTTATGTATAGCATGTTTATTATAAAAAGGTATAACTGGTATTTCCTCAGATGAAAACTGAGGAGCAAACCATCAAATCATTCCTGTTGTGGAATTCCAAGGGCGTGTGGTTTTAGCTCACAGAAGTCTCACTCTCTCACAGCTCTGGGAGGGAAGAGCCCAGTGTTATCGCCTGTGGGGTAGGGGTGCTTTCTTTGAGCCTTGTCTCTTGGCTGCTGTGCCTCCTATAATACATGACTGTTAGGCATGTCCTTGGAATCATGTGTTGTGGTCGTGTCCCATGTGTCCCCCATCTCCCACCCCAGGATCTTGTTATGTAATCCTGGCTGACTAGAACTCACTATGTAACCCAAACTTGTAGGAGTTCTTGCCTCAGGGCTCCCAAGTTCTGGGGTTATATGGGGCAGCACTCCTGGCTTTGAAGTTCATCAGTCATACTGATAAGGGCCTCATTCTAACTTCTTTAACTCTTGAAAACTTTATCTCCAAATTGGCAGTCAGATATGAGAAGTTGGAGCTTCAATATATGAATTTTCGTGAGAACATAATTTAACTCTTATGTTCACAGAATGTAGTAAAACTAGGTAGTCAGCATGGAAAAGCAAGTAAAATTTAAAGTTGTTTTTCCTCTAAATAAGATTTGTGTAGAAGTACATTTGTTCTGTGTTTCTGTTGTGTATCTCCCAGCCGGAGAATTTTCATCCTTGGGCCTTCCCATCATGTGCCCCTGTCTCGATGTGCACTCTCCAGTGTGGATATATATAGGACTCCTCTGTATGACCTTCGTATTGACCAAAAGAGTAAGTATATAGAAATCATGTAGTTTTTAAATAGCTAACGCTCATTTAATAAAGATTGCAATTTATTAAAAAAATTAAAGACACAAATATCATAAATAGCATCTCAATTAAATTTTTGTTGTAACTAATCTGTATAAACCAGACACAAAAAAGTAGTATTTTCCTGATAACAGCAAAAATCTGTTAAAGGCAGTTGGCTCTATACCATAGTGGTTACATTTGTATTTAGAGAAATACTTTGTGTCGTGCCATGAAGCAAGAAATTAGTATACATGACAACCTGATGAAGACTCTGCAGGTTAACTGTTTATAAGGTATCACTTTTTTCACTTTAAATGGTGGTGATAATACTTTTATTTCCTCTCATTGTTTTTATGGAATACTATTCTATGGGTTTTGAGGCTCTCAAATACATTTTGTTTTAACATGTATTTGTGTGTGTGTGTGTGTGTGTGTGTGTGTGTGTGTGTGTGTGTGTGTGTGTGTAAAGATGCATGTGTTGCTATGTGGAGGCCTGAGGCTAATGTCGGGGATCTTCCTTGATCACTCTACTGATATACTGAGGCAATGTCTCTGGCTTGAATTCACAACTTGCTATTTTGGCTTACCCGGCTTGCCATATACATACGTAGTATATATCTGGGGATTCCCTTCTGCCTCTTTGCACTGAGGTTACAGTTGGAATGCCACATCTGCCCAGCTTTTTACATGGATTTTCAGCTCCAAATTTCCGCTATCAAGCTTGTGTTATCTGCTACAACATCTGCCCAGCTCCCATGTTTGTTATTTTGAATTTCCTTAGGGTTCCAGAGGGCGTGTGTGTGTGTGTGTGTGTGTGTGTGTGTGTGTGTGTGTGTGTTCTGTGAGTGAGTGTATATTTTGTGTTTGTGTTCCATATGTTCCTTTTTCTGTGTTGTCTACTTTTTTGAGACTACGTCTCATTGGCCTGAAACTCCCCTAGGAGGCTAGGCTGGCTGGCTGGCCAAGGAGCCCCAGGGATCTGTTTGTCTTCCTTCCTATGGTATCCTAATCCAACATTACCATGCCAGGCATTTTTGAGTGGATTCTAGGAATCCAAGTCTCATGCTTTCTTGAAAAACATTTGATCTACTTAGCAGGCATCTTCCCAGTTGCCAGGTGTCATGTTTTTGTTTGGTTGTTTCTTATACAATATATGTAATATAAAAAAGTACAAAACACAACACAGAGTAGAACAATAATATTGATGTATCATTATTCACAGTTTACACTGAATTTTCCCTTTCGTCTCTCTCTGCATAATAGCCACCTTCCATGAACTTGGGAGTATATCGTTTAGCTCATTAAATTATAATTTAAGTATATAAGGGAAGCAATTGTTTTGTTCAAGTTTGCAATAATTTACATTGACTGAGACGTAATGTAAAAGAAATGGTTAGCTCTTTTAGGTCTCACTTAAGCCTTGATTTTTATAATTTGAGTTTGTCTCATAGATTATTATCTATTTGTTATTAATCAAAATAGAATATTGCCTTCCTGATTTAGATGACTTAAGGGACCCACTTTCCTTTTTTTCTTATTTTTCATGTTTTTAGATTTATTTTATTTAATGGGTATGAGTGTTTTACACATACATGTCTGTGCAGTGTGTGCCTGCCTAGTACCTGAGGAGGTCAGAAGAGAGCTTTGGATTCTATGGAACAGGAGCTGTAGATGGTTATGAGATACCGTGTGGGTGCTGGGAATTGAACCTTGGTTCTCTGCAGGAACAAGGGCTCTCAATCACTGAGCTGTCTGTCAAGCGCTACCCACCCTTTACTTTTAGACCCCTTGTTTGGTGCAAGCAAATACATGGGTAATTTTGGTATTTTGTAGAATACCAAATACTACCTTTTCCCCCTGTTTTTTGTTTCTTTCTCTGTTTTCCCTCCCCTCCTGCCCCTTCCCTCCTCCCCCTTTTCCCTTCCCTTCACCCCCTTTCCCCTCCCCCTGTCTCTTTCTTTTTCCCCATTCTCCCTCCCTCCCTCCCTCCCTCCCTCCCTCCCTCCCTCCCTCCCTCCCTCCCTCCCTCTCCTCTCCTCCCTCCCTCTCCTCTCCTCCCTCCCTCTCCTCCTTCCTTTTCTTCCTCTCCCCTTTTCTTCTTCTTTCTTCCTTTTTTGGGGAGGGGGAGGGAGAAAATATTTTGCTGAGTGAGTTCAACCAGACCTTGGTTTCTCCTCTGTAGCCCAGGTTGCTCTTGAATTTTTGATCTTCCTGCTCTAGCCTCCTGCATAGCTGGGGTTGTTGGTGTTTGCCACCAGATCTGGCTCAAAGTTATTTTTCTATTGTATTGTGTTTTGCATACTAAATTTCATATCTTGCTCTACAATCTTCAGGTTTAAGTATAGTTCATCAGAAATATCCAGATTGCTAGATCATTTTAAGTTGGCATGATACTGTGCTGGATTTGTGATTTCTGCCATAAGTTAAAGTTTGAGGCTTGTGAAAAATATTGGAAGAAAATTGTATGTTGTTGAAGTGAAAAACTAAAACCATGAAATTTAGTATCAAAACAAAGCAACCCTAAAAAAAGATATTATTAAACTTATATATAAATAGATGGTGATTTTTTTTCTGTTATAGTAATAATTCTAATGAACTGTTTGGGCTAGACTATTTAGAGTAAAATCCAAAGAATGGCCTAGACTCAGTTTATTTTAGAAATATTAAAAGGAGCTGATGAAAAATGTGTTGTGTTACTATCCAGATGATAAGTCTTTACATGTGTTATATTATGTAATAAAATTAGCTATTGCATCTTTCCCTTTATAATAAAATGGAGTATTCAGTGCTTTTGTTTCTTGCCATAGCTTATAGTTTTCTGTTGCTGGGTGGAAGCTCATGAAATAAATGTATGCATTAATATTTGTTTTAATATATTTTGAAATCTCTTTAGTTTACGGAGAGCTATGGAAGACAGGAATGTTTGAACGCATGTCTCTGCAGACAGATGAAGACGAACACAGTATTGAAATGCATTTGCCTTATACAGCTAAAGCCATGGAAAGGTATATTGATTAATATAAAAAATCTCAGAGAAGTCACAGATCTTAATGTCTTTGGAATTATTTTAGCCTAGGGTAATTTGTCAAAACAAAAAGATTACAAATTTCTTATTTAAAATGAAATAAAATTGGAGATTGCAATGTCTTTTTAAGGACTAAAATTGATTTTTAACTAGATGTCTATTAAGGTTGAACATAGGAATTGATGTGAAGTTTTTTTTTTTTTAAGGTGGAAATGAAAACAGCCACCCCTATGTGTATTGGGGTTGATATATCTTGGTTTGCTTGGTAGCCAGTAGACATTTCATTGTCTTAGGATAATCATTATTTTGTGCTACAATTGTAAATTTGAAAGTGACTCTTCAGTTTTGTAAAGGTACATGAGACTCTTTTTGTTGTTGTTTTTTTGGTTTTTTGAGACATGGTTTCTCTGTGTAGCTTTGGAGTCTGTCCTCAAACACGCTCTGTAGACCAGGCTGGTCTGGAACTCAGAGATCCGCCTGTCTCTGCTTAGACTTCACTGATGATGGTGATCGAGTCTGCTAAGGTTCTTCCTGTGTGAGTCCCTGGATGATGCGCACAGGAGGCAGGGCAGGACCTGCTTCGCTCTCCGCCAGGTGCTTCGGTGCCCGCTCTAGCCCATCACAGAGGAGGGCATTTGTTTGGTAAAATGAAGCATAAACTGTCTCTAGGATTTTCTTTTTTTTGTGCCACATTTGTTTGTTTTCAATCGTTTATCTGGATCATTTGGATTCTTTTACTTTTCCTTACGTAATGGGCTTTCAGGCCTGACATGGCACAAGTCTGTAATCCTGGCATATGTAAGACTTGAAGCAGGAGGATCATTGTTGAAGACCAGTGTGGACAACAGGGTGAGACCCGGCTATCCACAAAAAGAAAAAAAAAAAGTTAAAAAAATTCCCAAATCAGAAAACCGAGAAAGAACAAAAACAGAAAAAAATTGTGTGTGTGCGCGTGTGCGCACATGCACGTGTATGTATGTATGTATGTATGTATGTATGTATGTATGTATGCATGCACGCTCTGTTTTGTACCTGAGTTTTGTTTTGGTTCACTGTGTGTTAGTTTGAAAGCCTAGAGGCCTCACTCAGTGTTCTGAGTTCAGACTGATCTAGTACTTTATAGTGTGTACTAAACAAGAACGGTGTGCTATTAAGAATAAATGCCACCTGAGATTCTTTCTGAGGCTGAAAGACCGTGCCAGCATGTGCTCCTGAGCTCTTAAGAAGGGAGCTTGTAGATGCATTTATCGGTTGTCAGGGCCTCTTCTCTGGTTGCTGCTGTAGTCCTTGTCTTCATGCTGGCTGTTCGTTCTTCCTACCTGTTTTCCTTTTATCTCTATCCTTACCTTTTCTTCTTTCCTTTCCCTTCATCCCTTCCTCCTGCCTCCCCTCCTCTTCTCTTCCCTCTCCCCCCTTCCTCCCAGTTTTTCTTCTTCATGTGTATATGAGGTGTGTGCATGTGAGTGTGCAGGCATGTATGCCACCAGTACACAGGTGTCCTGAGAGCATATTGTGTGGTTTCCTCTCTGCATCTGTTTATTGTATCCTCGAGGTAGACTCTCTCCCCAAATTGGAAGCTCACTGTTTTGGCTAGGGTTACAAGTACATAAAGCCGTGCCTGACTCTTGACATGGGTGCTAGGGATTTGAACTCAGGTTTTCATGTTTGCCCAGTGAGTACTTTTACCCACTGAACTATCTATCTCTTCAGACCTCTATGATGTTTTCTGTGTTAGTTTTCCGCCATCTAAAGAAGCTAGTGATGTTCTTTTCCAATCCAGCAATCCCCGATTGTGAATTTTAACAGGTTACCAAGCTCATGATTTTCCCTTGTACCTTGTGGTATGTGCACATAAAAAAAAACTATAAGTGGTGGTGATGGTGCACGTCTTAAATCCCAGTAGAGGCAGGTGGATCTTTGTGAGTTCAAGGCCAACTGGGTCTGCATAGTGAGTGCCAGGACAGGCTCCAAAGCCACAGAGAAGCCCTGTCTTGAAGCCCTCTTCTCCCCCAAAAAGCTACTAACACTTTGAATCTTTAATGGAAAAATCTGCTGACCTACAGATTCATTCAGTTTATTTTGACTCTTCTAAGTGACTTCATGTGACAGTTTTGAGTGGATAGTGTACGTTACGTTGCACTGGTGGCTTCCTGTAGCAATTCTTAACATGGCTCCTTAAGTTTCCACAGTTATCTTTTCTTCCAGCTTCTCTTTGATCTGTGCCAAAGACCTGTGTGGATGTATAGTATCTTAACTGAACTCCACGCCCAGATCAGAATGGTGTTTTCCTTGGTGTCTGTTGTGCACAGTGACCCATGTTAGCATGTCTTCTTTCTCTGTACTGTTTTTGAGTTAGGAGTTTGGTCAGAGGCTGTGGGGATGACTTGGCTGCTCCTATTTTGGCTGAAGCTGCAGCATGCCCCCCTGTCCTGGAGCTGTGGTGCTGAGGACCTTCTGAGGGTTCGCAGTTCTCATCTAGGTCGTCATCTGCTTCCACCTGCCTTCCCCTTGCAGGCCCTGTCTCCCCGGCCTCCCCACGCCATGGCAGCCTTGCACTACTTTAAGTTGGCAGCTGAAGGTAGCAGTTGTGCAAAGCTGATATTTCAAGACTTCATAAATCTAGGTCTGGAACTGGCCCAGCTTTACTTCCATCGTGTTCTACTGCTCAAAGCAATTTACAAGTCTGAATTCAAGGGAGTGGAAATTTAGTCTCCACATCTGATGGGGGAGGACTTTGAACCAGGAGGTGGAGTCCTCTTGAATGGCATATTTGAGATGATAAAGCTGAAAGCTCTTGGATGACAGGCAATTGTTTTCTTCCATAATAGATCTCTAGTAAGTTCTTTGCTTGCTGCAGGTAGTCCATACCATACCTCCTGGCCTGAATAATTTCAGTTATTAGTTATTGAAAATTGATAGCTATTAATTGATTTAAAACTTTTAAATATAGAATCAAATGCAACACACACCTGTCATCATAACATTTGGGAGGCTGAGGAGAAACAACCACGATGCTTGTGAGTTTTGTTGTTACTCTCTTGTCCATAGGATGACTTGGAACTCAGAATGATTCTTTTCCTGGGATTGTAGGTGTGAGCCAGCACACCTGCTTTGCTTTTAAACCAGTCTTTTAAAGATTCGTTTATTTTTGTTGATGTGCATTGGTGTTTTGCCTGCATGGATGTCTGTGTGAGGGTGCCAGATCTCCTAGAACTGGAGTTACAGACAGTTATGAGCTGCCATGTAGGTGCTGGGAATTGAACCTAGGTCCTCTGGAAGAGCAGCCGGTGCTCTTAACTACTGAGCCATCTCTCCAGCCCCTAAATCAGTTTTTTAAACATGTAACTTTTAACCCCCCCCCACAGGTTTTTACTATTACAAATGTTATATGATTTTGTAAAAGTGACTGTTTATGTATTACTTATAATTTTTATTTTATTTTTTATTCTTTGTAATTCTGTGTCTCATAGTTTGTTTTGGTTTTGGTTTTTCAAGACAGGGTTTCTTTGCATAGCTTTGACTGTCCTGGAACTCGCTCTGTAGACCAGGCTGGCATGCAACTCACAGAGATCTGTTTGCCTTTGCCTTCCAAATGCTGGGATCAAAGGCGTGAGCCACCAGTGGCTGGTTTCTGTTATCTTAAATTAAAAAAAAAAAAAACGAGAATTCATTAGAGCTTTTGTTTATTTTACGTGTTTAGTGTGTGTCTGTACATGTGTTGTACAGGTGTTTGTTTGCATGTGGTATGGAGGATAGAGGTTGATGTCTTTCTTGATTGTTCTTCATCTTACTTTTTGAATTCACTGTGTGACTAGACTAGCAGGCTAGTGAGCTCCAGGGGTTGTCGTCTTTGTCTTCCCAGAACCAAGGCTCACAGGTGTGTGTCACATGCCTGGCTTTTGGTATAAAACTCAAGTCTTTGTGCTCAAGTCTTTGTGCTCTGTATCAAGTGCTCACTCCACCGAGCTGTCTCTGTAGCCCTCCCTGGAGCCTTTTGAGACACTGGATGTCTGTGCTACAGACTAATAGTAGAATGCCTACCTGGTGTGTTCAAGTCTCCTCCCTACACTGACTAGAAAAAATACTATAAAGAAGAATACATAAAATGACTCATCCTATTGCTCAGCTTATTCCTCTGATATTTAAAATACAAATATATAATTTGAAATTGTAAATAGAATCATGAAGGATAAAATGAACAGTGGAACTCCCTCTGGTCCCATCTAACCTATTTTTCACCAGTGAAAATTGTTAAGAATCAATAACATGTGAAAATAAGTTTATATACGTAGAGTTTTTTTTTTTTCCTTTGTTTTGTTTTTGATTTTTGAGACAGATTTCTCTGTGTGGCCCTTACTATTCTGGAACTCAGAGTATCTGCCTGCCTTTGCCTCATGAATGCTGGAATCAGAGGTATGCACCATGACCACTTCCCAGCCAGTTTTTTTTTTTTTTCTTTTGGTCAACCACCCAAACAGTTTCTATTCATTAATATTCATAAATACACACAGCAGCTCCATTAGAGATCTCGGTTTGAATGTGGAGTATTAGGAGAGCCTTTTGTATGTCCAGGTACAGGAAGTAGAGATCACCCTGTGCTGTTACCCATATTTTTGTGGGATGCCACTATTATACACATAGTATGCTTTGAGAAACTGGTGATTGCTGTGACAAAAACCAGGAATGATTTTTATTGTCAGCTTACCCATCAGTGGAAGAAGGGATATTTTGTGTTGAATCTTGTTTCCAAGGCAATATTGCAGATTTTTAATTTACCTGCTAAAAATAAAAATTAGTTAACTGAAAATGATTATTATATATATTTCTCTCTCCTTTTGAATGTACACAATATAAATTGTGAAATTATAGTCACCAAACAAACCTAGGACAGCTGTTGTCCACTTTAATTCCAGCCAGCAATTTGTAATATTTATAAACTTACATGTTTTGTTTTGTTCCCTTTCCTCATTCTTTTTTTAAAGATGTATTTATTTATTATGTTTACAGTGTTCTGCCTGTATGTATGCCTGCACACCAGAAGAGGGCACCGGATCTCATGACAGATGGTTGTGAGCCACCATGTGGGTGCTGGGAATTGAACTGAGGACTTCTGAAAGAGCAGCCAGTGCTCTTAACCTCTGAGCCATCTCTCCAGCTCCCCCTTACCCCATTCTTTTGTAGTGTAATTCATAATAAATTTCATTATCAAATATAATTAATTTGGAGAAGTAGGATATATAAGGATTATATCTTGAAAAAATGAACTTCAGATTGTTAAATCATAATTCCTGTGGGAGTGGTCTTATTATTGGTGGCAGTTTGTTTGTAGTTTACAGTTTGATAACCTTTTTTCCATATTTACTATTTTTTTCTTTATTTGGGGTTTTATACCTTAGAGTTTTTAATTAAATATAAGTGCGCAGAAATAATAAGAAAAGCATCATTGGAAGAAAGCATGTGATTGAAAAAATAGTGTTTTGAGGCTGGAGAATTGGCTTACAGTTAAGAGTACTTGTTGTTGCAAAGTACCTAGGTTCAGCCCCCAGTACCTTTGTGGCCTTAAACAACTATGCTGTAATGTTTACAGATCTAACATCCTATTCTGGCTTCCACGGGCATGTCACATTCAAGCTGTATAGACATTTATGCAGGCAAAACACCCATCATGCACATAAAATAAGAATAAATAAACATAAAAAAACTCAAACAAAAAAAGCATTTATGGGCATGGGGTAGTATGTACCTGCAATGATGCTATTAGGAAGACAGGGACATAGCAGCACTTGTCTCCAAACAAAACCAAAACACAAAAGTCACCAACTGTTCAGGTTCCTTAAGCATGTGTTAGTTTTGTTATCCCATGTTTCAGACATGGAAAAGTTGAAGAGTGTTCTAGCACTTCATCCCTCTGCTTTGATTGGCTCTTTCCAATCTTAAAAGTTCTTCATGGTTAGGATTTGACAACTTTCTAGAGATACTTAAAAAACCTGTTTATGAATGGTCCTTATAAATAAAGGAGGCTATTATTTATGATTATTATGATGTTGTAAACATTTCTTGTACAAGTCTGTGTGCCAACATACATTGTTTTGTAAGTAGGATTTTATTGGCAACCAGCCACACCCAGGTACTAGTATATTGTCTTTGGCCACTGTCCTTCTGTAATTAGTACTGAATATTTTTGTTCTGGATAATGTGTGGCCCAGAAAATCTAAATGTTTTATGGACGTTTTAAAAAGATGTTTGCAGTTGGGCGGTGGTGGCCCACGTCAGGACAGCTAGGGCTATGCAGAGAAACCATGCCTCTTGAAAAACAGAGAGAGGGAGAGGGAGAGAGAGTGGGGGGCGGGGAGGGAGGGAGGGAAGGAAGATGTTCCCTGATCCAATGTATTAGTTGAGTTGCATTTTAGCTCTTAAAATTCTTGGATTCAGTGTTAATTAACTTTTGTGACTGGTGTGAGGCAGAAGTTGTAAATGTCTTGGGGTGGGGTGGGTGGGACTCGTCTCTAGTTGAATGAGTAGGTGAGGATCTTTTTTTAAATTCTGCTTCATTGGATTTGTTTGGTTAATGTTTTCCATGAGATTTTTGGACATTTTCAGCAACTGTTCTTCTTTGTTTTGTCTGTTTGGGACTGATGCTAGTTTGGATGCTTCATATTGTCTTAAATTCTCCAATTCTCTTCCTGTTTCTTCCATATTTTCCCTATTACCTTAGTTTAGGACAAGGTCTTTTATGTGGCCTGGGCTGGTCTTGCCTTGTGGTCCTCTTCTCTTAGCTGCCTCGTGCTGGTGTACTACCGTACCTGGCCTCTTGATTCCATTTTTAATTGTAACCCTTCATCCTTATTAAAATGTTCCTTCTGCTCTTTATTACAGGCAGGGTATTCCTTATTGTTTATTTATCAAACACACATGCATGCACATTTTAAAGTGGTGTTTTAAATAACTTCCTTTAATTCTCTGATTTTATTTCTCATAACAATTTTGAAATCTACTAAATCTAAGAACTGATCTTGACATTTATTGGCTATTATTTTTCTAGAGTGTCATAGTTTGCTGTTTTTTTAAACATGGATTTTATCTTTTTCCTTGAACTGTACATTTTATAAAGTCTTGTAGTAATTCTGGCTTTCATTTTCTCCCTCCAGGCTTTATTAGTTAGCATTTTATGTGTGTCCCAGTGGTAGGATGGACTTCTGTTGATCAGACTTCTTAGCCTTTAAGACATTAATATTCTTATGTTTTCACTTGACTTTGAAGGACTTCATCAGTGATTGTAGTCTAGTATTTAGCAAATGATTGCCTACGGGTTGTACCTAAATGTCTTGAGTGCAGGATGCTGTCCTTGTCTACTAGGGGAGGACGTACACTTTGGAGAGCCTAATCAAACAAGCCCAGTGTGTTTCTAGTTCACTTCTGACTGTCTCTTGGGGTTCCTATAGCTGAGCTACTACCCCAGCCTTGCAGCATGGCATATGTGATTACCTTCACCTCAAATGTCCATTTTCTTGTCTCACACTCAGAGGCTCTAAACTTTAGCAACCTTTGGATTTTTTGAGTCAGCCAAAGTTAAGTGGAGGATGAAAGTTCCATCCCTTAGAATTTGAAGACAATTTACCAAGTGTGTGGTCCTCCCATTACTAGGATCTCCCTGTTAAGTTTGTGACTAATCCGGAGGCTTTTGGTGTGCTCCATTGACTTCAGGCTACGGAACATGCAGGATTCTCTATTTCACACTTGGCAGTTTTCAGAGTTCTGCTGTGCTTGGTCTTCTCTGCCTCTGGGCAGGGATGGAGACAGCCTGCTGGTCCTAACAGGAGGTTGTTAACTGTTATGAAGAGACTTGTTGCTGTTTTCCTCCTCTGTAGTCAACTTATATGCACAAAAATCATTGTTTAAAAGCTTTATCCATTTTTATAATTTTTTCTGTACTTTACTGGAAAACCTAGCTTCAAACTTGGCTTTTAAAATCTAAATGTACGTATTTTTTTATTTTTGTAATTTATTTTTATTTTATGTGCATTGGTGTTTTGCCTGCATGTATATCTTTGCAAGGGTGTCAGATTTTGGAGTAACAGACAGTTGTGAGCTGTCAGGTGGGTGCTGGGAATTGAACTTGGGTCCTCTGGAATAGCAGTTAGTGCTCTTAACTGTTGAACCATCTCTCTAGTCCTAATACTTATGTTTCAAAGTCAGATGTTCCTTTTTTTTTTTTTTTTTTTTCTAGTTCATGCTCATGGAGACAGAGAAAAGTAAATTTTAAAAAATGGCAAGAAAGGCTGAAATGAAGAGCCATGGTTCCCTCCCTTGGCTTCTGTGGAGAACTGGACTTTTTCTTTGTAGAGATAGATTTATATGCTCAGCGAGATTATTCAAAGGTCTTTGGAGAGTAGATTTGTGGTTTTTGCAGAGAAAGCCATCTGTAGTTGATACTTAATGACTGTATGCTCCATGTGATAACTTTCATCAAATAGCTCTTGTAGGTATGCTCCTTCTAAAAATATGGGCAATCGTTTTGAATGCCATAGGGCTGGTCCTTAAACCCATCTCTCTCACTTTGCTTGTTATAATTTGCTTAACAGCTGCTTCTCTACAATGTCATAATTATCTGCAATCTCTTTGATCTTTGTGTATTTAGTTTTGGAGGTAGTTTTTGAGGTTAGAATATTCATGGCAGTTATCAAATTTTTATTAGAAACCAAAATTCTTTCAATCAATAATTAACTGGTTAAAAAAAAAAAGCCCTTGTTTGCTCTGTGTAGTTAGCAAACTAGTAAGAATCAGAGAATGAGATGTCCCATGGCAGCTTCCTCTGCCAGCTTCTTTTTTTTTTTTTTTTCCTTACACCATAGATGCAGATTCTGCCCAAGAAGCCCCTGCATTGCAGAGGGACTGGAGGTCTGTATGATCTGTTAATTGCGCAGTTGACAAGGGTAAGGGGGCTGCTATGGGGGAGGTGTTTGGGTACCCTGAAGTAGTGGTATGTAGCTTAGCCAACATTTATTTTAAGATTAGTTAAATTTAGTATTAAAACAAAACAAACCCTTTTATGAAGTCTGTTTTTCCCATGTCAGGTTTTTAACATTAAAAAGTAATTATAATGCTGAATTCATAAAGTCCTATTTAAAATAAGTTAGACAAACTTAATTTATGCTTCTAAAACTCTTTACTCCAGGACCATTGATATACTATTAAAATTCGATTATGTGAATAATTTTGAATATTTTGTAAGGTGAAGCAAGTAAATCATTTACCATAGTTATTAACCTGTTTTGTTTCTTTTCAATATATTTGTCAGTCAAATGGAACTGGGTATATCATAAATGACATGGGTGGAGCGTGTGTCTTTTGTGGGATACGTTAGAAATGAATATACCCTTTACTTTTGTTACCCTGGATGTCAATGAAATTTAAGTTGTATCGAAGCTGGCTTGTATCTGACTGTTAGGCTTAAGTTGTAAGAGTACAGTTGATGAATCTCACAGGAGCCAAATTCAGGTTCTGTAGGTTGTGCTTGGCAGGTTTATAGAATAAATGCCAGAAATAGTCTATGTTTACAGAATCAAATTAAAGTAGATGAGCAAGACTTTAATGCTCTGAAAATGGCAGGACTGGATAGGCAGCTATAGCTTTTGTGAGTAATTGGGGATAGTCTGATGGACTTATTTTTAAACATATGTTATACGTGGCAGTACAATAGCTTTGTTTACTTAAGATAGTATATATTTTGGTAACTTAGTATTCTGTACTTGTTTTGAAATCGGCTTCCTTCAAAATTTCTTTTGTAGATTTTTAGGATTCAACAATAAAATATGTTAACATTTTCACTGTTAATAAATGTTCTTTTTATGACAACACAATTAGAAAAATATTTTTTTTTAATTTTTAAACAACTTAAATGACTTTTGTTTTTGTATTTTTTTTTCTGTTTTCTTTAAGCCATAAAGATGAGTTTACCATTATTCCTGTACTGGTTGGAGCTCTGAGTGAGTCAAAAGAACAGGAATTCGGAAAACTCTTCAGTAAATATCTAGCGGATCCTAGTAATCTCTTTGTGGTCTCTTCTGATTTCTGCCACTGGGGTAAGTCCTAGATTTTAACATACAGTGGATGCTATGTATTTGTGGTTAAAGGGTTCTTTTCGTTTCAAGCTCTGATTCTCAATTCTTTATCACTCTTTGCAAAGTTGTATTTGTAGTAGCCATGTTTAAAAGTGAATTAAACAGCTTTTTGATTACTTAAAAAGGAGATCAGCAGGGGATATAGGCACATTTCCAAAGGCGACTGGTACAGTTGGATTCACACTGTGAGGGCATCCTTACTTTTGAACTCTTCTGATAGTGGAAGTTAAAACCTATTAGCCCTGTATTTGTGTGCACACACACGGTGTAGGGTCTTGGAGGTCAGGTTTGGTACTGTACTGTACTGGTCCTTCTCTGACTTTTTTGTAATCTCTCTCTCTCTCTCTCTCTCTCTCTCTCTCTCTCTCTCTCTCTCTCTCTCTCTCTCTCTCTCTCTCTCTCTCTCTCTACTTTATAAAAATAAGGACTCCTAAGTGGGCTTTGTGATTGTTATAAATTAAGAGGAAGGATATTTTACAGTGACTCGACCATTAAGAAGTGATACGTGGGACTGGAGAGATAGCTTAGCAGTTAAGAGCACTAGCTGTTTCCCCAGAGGACCTGAGTTCAATTCATGGCAGCTCATGTCTGTAACTCTAGTTCCAGAGGATCTAATATCTTCATGTGCTTACAATAAAGTTAAATTAAAAAAAAGTGATACATTGTCTCCCAGTAAACTGATTTTGCCTTCTTTGAATGCTGCTTGCTTTCATTTATCTGTCTCAGAGTACTTCTTAAGTTCCATTCATTGTAGGATATCTCTTTGACTCATTTTTTCATTATTTTTAGTTATACCATTTGTTCATTCTCTTCTGCTTTTAAGGTAAAACTAGAATGCTGGAAAACCTCCTCAGTGAGTGATCTAGGGAAGCCCTTTGCTGTCTCCTGCTAGAACGGAGTCAGCCTTTTACCTCCTTGCTTAGGTTCTTTCTCTCTTGCATCCTTCTCCAAATAGAGTTCTTAAGGTGTACTCACAACTCGGCTGTCTTCCATGGCATAGTTATTATTAGAATGTGTAAGCTATTAGCACTGTTTGCACTAGTTCTCCACGATTGTGATTTTCCTCCTAGGGAAAGTTTCAAAATACCAGGAGACCTTTTAGATTTCATTGCCACACTGGGAAGGGGTTTAAAGGATGAAGAGGTTTCTGGTCGTGAACAAGTTGAGTTCAGGGAAGTTGTTAAACCATCTTAGAGTGTACAGAACAACCCCTGCCTCCACCCAATGTAAAAAATGTCTGTTTCAAGGTGTGTATAGTGCTGAGGTCAGAAACCCATCGTTACCATGTGAGGGTAGCTGAGCTCCCTTCTGAAGATTTTCTCTTGGTTCTTGAGTAACTCATTCAGCTGTCAGAGTATGCATTGTTTTTTTCTGGCAGAAGTAATTGTTTATTCATGTCACTGTATTACTTAGATGCTAGGGCTCAAGTAGAGTTTTAGGAAGGGAGTTCAATTCTGTCTCATGATTAGAACTTTAGTCATAGTTAATCTTAACAGTAAAGAGTACTGTTATTAAAAAGTTGCTTTTCTCAGGGTTGTGAGCTTCTCTCAGGATCATGACATTCTCATGTTTTGGAAATAAAAATTTTGAAGCAAGTATTTTTTCCTTTTGAAGACTCTTATGAATCACTTGATACTGTTCTCTTGATGCTGTTCTCCAGATTGCTCTTTCTAGTTAGCAGCATAGGCAACTACAACATAAACCTGCATAAAATGTGATTTTTTTGTTTTTGTTTTTGATTTTTTTTGTTTTGTTTTGTTTTATGACAAGCTTTCACTGTGTTACCCAGGGTAGTCCAAATTCCCAATCTTCCTGCATGTGCTTCCGAGGTACTGAGATTATAGGTGTGAGCTACCATGCCTGGTGAATAGATGTACTACTATTCCTGCATGTGTATGGGTCATCATCCATCTTGCCTCACCAATAAAGTATTGTTGTTGTTGTTATTTTCTTTCTCGAGATGGGTTTTTCAGTGTAGCCCTGGCTGTCCTGGAACTCTCTGTAGACCAGGTTGGTTTGGAATTTAGAGATCTGCCTGCCTCCACATCCCAAGTGCTGGGATTAAAGGCGTTTGTCACCAACAACTTTCCTTGTAGCTTTGGCTGACCTGGAATTCATTCTGTAGACCAAGCTGGCCACAAACTCACAGAGACCCACCTGCGTCTGCCTCCTGAGTGTTGGGCTTAAAGGAGTCTACCACCACTGCCAGGCTAATAAGGAATTCTTAATGCATACATACCTTACTCTACAGTTGAGAGAGAAAAATAAATTTGTTTTTTGTAGCTAATTAAGATTCTCAGAAAGTTAAAAGCTATTTTTCCCATTTCTATAAAAAGAAAAATTAATATTTGAGTTGTGATACAGGATTTCCAGGCGATAACTAAAAGAAAACCCTGTTAAATTTTCTAAGGCTTGCAAACACTAGCAGTGAAGACCATCAGACCTGTGTGTTGTTGGGTGGTTAAGCCATGGAGCTTTTCCTGGTGTTCCTCATTTAGCCAGCACAATCATCACTGAGTCTCACTAAGTGCTCACTTCACTTAGACGAGCATTGATTCTTTCTGGGTAACTTGGCCAGCAGTATGGCAGACAGTGTGAGGTGTGACATCACAGGAAACAGTAATTGTCACTTTGTAAAACAACACTTTCTGTTTCACACATTTGTTAGGCAGAATCTTTGGCCAGCTACAAATTAAGCTGTTTTAGGAATCAAATGTTATGTTCCATGTCAGCATGTTAGCTCGTCATGAGGGTTTATGTTTTGTTTCTTTTTCTTTCTCCTTTCTCCCCCTTCTTGTCGAATCTTGCCATTCAGGCTTACCTTGAATTTGTACCCTTCTGCCTCAGTCCCCCTAAGTGGAATCACAGGCATGTACCACTGTGTCATGCTTTTTTTTCCTACTTGTAAAGATATGGTACATGTTGGTTTTTTTTAAAAATATAAAACCATAGAAAAACAACCATAATAAGTGAATTCTCAATAATTTCACAGGAATGATTCAGCTCTTCAGTACATAGGCATTAAACATCTCATTGCTTTAGGGTCTTCATAATCTCAAGTAGCTGATTTTTGAAGTAAAATTACTTCATTGATTATTACTCAGATAGATATACATAGTGGGCCTTTGGTTTTAGTTGAATTAGGCAACTGTTAGTGACTCCTTTTTCTTCCTAGATGTTTGTTATCTCTGTTTCCTGTCCTGCTTTGTGGAAATAGTGACAGCCTTGCTCACACAGATGCTTGGGAAGCTGCAGTCTCCTTGTTATCAGCCAGGGCCCTTTATAAAAATGAATTCTTTCTATAAAAATATATTTTGCTTTAATAGATACTCAAAGAGAGACTAAAATATTCTGGTATTCTTTTGGAATGAAACAAGGCATGTGAGTGGCAGAAACCTATATTCTGTTATCTTGTTCTTTCTGTCTCCTCAGTAGAGTTCCCTAAAATGTAACTGTGTTTTAGTCAGTGTTCTGAATCTTGACATCATCTTAGACATGAGAAAAATGCCTCAGCACCATAGTATAAGATAATAAGTCCTCTCCACCATAGCTACTAGCTTTTGATTTTTCATCTTAATATACTTACCAAATTCTACTAATACTTAATATACTTACCAAGTTCTATTGGTACATAACATACTTACCAGGTTCTACACCTAGAGGAGGGTTCTGTGTAGGAAGAACTTGTCTGTACTTCTTTCAGTTATCTAGTTAGTAAATTTTTATTGTTTCCCCAGTTTCAGTTCTGATATTTTCCATATATACTATTATTATTTGTTTTATGTCTTCACAGAAAGTTGTTTCCAAGTTCAGATTGATAGCTTTCATTAGCATAATTTTTAGCAAACTATTAACATAGTTCTAAGCGAAATTAGATCTAAAAAATTGGAAGTGAAGTAATCTATTAATTTACCTTCATGATGGTTTTACAAATCAGTTCCAATACATTTACTAAGTGTTTATGACACTATTTTGTTAAAATATGAATATAATCTGCTGTAGTCTTTTCAGCCATTTCAAATTTGCTTAGAATTATACCCGTTCTTTTTTTTAATCAGTTTGAGCTACTTATTCAGTAACCTTACCCAAAGTATTCATAAAATTTATACTGTGTTCAGATATCTTCTGTACTGTTCATTAAGTGATTCATATGTACTCTTTTTCATATTAAGTTTCTTAGTGTAAGGATAGTTTCACTTTGTAATGCTGAAGTTGGCTTGAATATTGTTAGCTAATTTGTAAAATATATCTTACATTTATTTTCTCAAGTCTCTGTACTTCTTCATCACAGGTTTAGGCTTTTGACTTTTTGCAGTGTTGGGATGAGGCTGATACTTTCTCATTGTAACAGAATTCAGGATGAATGGATGATAGCATCTAGTTGTTAGAAAAGATGATCTTATTTGATAGAACACAGATAGTATTTTCTCTGTGAAATACATTTTTTTCTTTGACTGTGATTTCAGTTATAGGTGTTTCAAGTTTAGAACCCCCTTGTAGAATGGCCTGCTAATCTCCCTAGTGGATTTGTGTAAGGGTTCAAACATTTGAAAAATGGCTCACCATTAGCAGAGTGATGAGTGAATGTACACAGAACAGTTTCTATTGGTCATATATCTGAAAGGCTTTTCTATTGACTGATATTTTGGGGGTTTTGTAGATTAACATTTGTTAGGTCATTGTTTATTTTAGCATAGCTTAATGTTGAGGTATTTAATTTTTTCTTTTTGTTTAGAGAGACTTAAAACATAGTGTTGGTTCTTGTAAACATTCATTGTTGTTTGTCCTCATTAGTTGGTTGTTGTGTGTTAAACAGACATCTTTGGAGCTTCCTCTCCACACTCTGTGAATCCACTCATTAATCACCAGTCACCTTTGGAGATGGGAAAATTACTTACCTGTATTTCTTTTTCTCAGAAAGCGTGCTCTGGAATGGATTCACAAATGAGCTACCCTCCTTCCCTCAAAGAGTAAGGTTTCTGCTTTACAGGATTTTTTTTTCCTTGGGTTATTTTTCCTCTCATCTTTTGAATTTGAAAAGAACTGAGGGAAGGCACCTGAAGAACCCACTGAGATACTCGCTAGGGAGTTCCAGAGCTTGTCCTGCCCCTAGGGCGGTGTCCATGGCTCTTAAAGCTAGAAAGCTCATACTTGAAGTTGAAACAGGGGCTCAAAGAATCCATTTTCCCAGTGTACCTTCTGAAAGGATAAGTTTCAGGTAAGTAATTTTCTCTACTATGTGATATGCTTTATTCATACTTAGAAAAGGATGTACAGTTCCCGGCCTTCATTTATGGAGACAGCTGTTTGTTCATAGTCAGCTTCATAATTGCCCTGAAAGCCAGAAATATAAAAATTTACAAAGTAAAATATATTTTCTCATGAGATACATATAATCAGAATTTACTTTAAATGAACAATTCAAAAATAAAGGTCCATTTCTGATCAGTGTATTATGCTAGTACTGTCATTTCCTTTATAAATGAACGAAATCTTGAGAAATTAATTTTTAAGTAAGTATCTTGACTCAGTTTCCCAGCAGCAGTTGACTTGTGTATGTGTGTGCACATGCATGTATATGCTTGTCTGCATGCATACTACATACATACTCAGGCTAAAGTAAGACGAAAGCAGCTTTTTCTTCAGATTAGATGCTGTATCTCTATTGACGAGGATGGACTGTTCAAATAATTTGAAAATACTTTACAATTTTAAGAGTTATGAAATCATTGTGAGTTGTTATGAGTAAAATATTCAGTAGCTGCATGTACTGAAAACTTAGTTTCATTATTGATATGAGCTATTCATCTTTAGATTTAACTTTTATGTTACTATGAGTTGGTCACAAAAAAGTAACAGGTAGCAAAATACTAAACATTTGTTCCAGTTGGTTTCCTGTGCACACTCTCATTTGCATTAAATTACGTGATGATTCCAGTATTTTGAAGTATTTCAAACATCTGTCCCTTTCTTCAGAATTACTTTAAAGTTAGCTGGAAGGTCATCTGTGTGATGTGACATCACATAAACATAATGTTACACACCTTTCTTGCTTTCCTGGCAGGGTTGTTACTTGAAAACAGCTCCTCACTTGGAAGTGAGCAAGGACTTTGGAGTAGCAGATAACTGTCATAAAGCACCCAGGAATAGCAGTGTTTTATAGACACAAGGTTTGCAGATAGGAGCTAAAAGGAATGGCTGTAGGGAAAAGAGATTATAGTTGTATAAACCTGAAATAGTCCAGTTTTTTTTTTTGTTTTGTTTGTTTGTTTGTTTGTTGTTGTTTTTTTTTTTTTTTTTTTTGGTTTTTCGAGAAAGGGTTTCTCTGTATTGTTTTGGAGGCTGTGCTGGAACTCGCTCTGTAGACCAGGATGGCCTCGAACTCACAGAGATCTGCCTGCCTCTGCCTCTTGAGTGCTGGGAATAAAGGCTTGCGCCACCAACACCCGGCCCGAAATAATCCAGTTTTAAAAGAATCAAGACAGAATACTTTGATTCCTTCTAGAATATTATTTTTCGAATAGTGGCAAGCAAGCAGAATTCCTTGTCTGAGGTGTTTATTCAATTATTTCACAAGAGATGGGCAGTTTTATCAAAAGAAGTTTGAAATAGATATGGATGTAGGACAGTGAATTGAGTCAACAGGCTAGGCTGACTGAGATGTGGAGTTGGCTTTATGTAGTCTTCTTACAACTACCCAGCAAGTGTGGAAAATGGGTTCAATTTCACAATTCTCATGGTCAGACAGTCCTTATTACTGTGTGTAATACACATTCTCTGAAGAAAATCAAACTACTACTACTTCTCAAAACAATTTAAAGGAGAAACTTGGTGTATTATTTAATATAAAGCCATTGAGGCCTCGCAAGATGGCCTTATGAGTAGATGTGCTGTCAACAAGCCTGAAATCTGAATTCAATCCTTGGGGCCCACAAGGAGGATGGAGAAAACCAACATTGCAGGTGGTCCTCTGACTTCCATTGCACACTGTGGCATGTGCATGCACTTGGACGTGCACCTGCATAAATATAAATTAAAATATAGAGGCATTGAGTGATAGGTGATCATTGCTGTCTCTACCAATCCTTCCAGTTCAGAGACTATAGTAGATATCATACCATGGCTGGCTGCATGCGTCATCTTTGTCATTTCTTTCGGAGAGCAGACTCTAGCTTAGAGCCTGTTCAATTCTAGGATACCAGTTATCTTTAATAATAGCTCTGTGGAAAGTTAACAGTTATTATAGTGAGTGACTTCAGAAGATAATGTAAACAGTTAAAAAATGAAACTTAAAGAATATGGTGTATTTTAGGAAAATATACATAAAAAGATTATCACCAACAGATGAAATACTGAGTTCTATGGTATGTTTTTTTTTTTTTTAAAGAAAGGATATCAAGGAGAATTCCATAATTTTGAACTGACCATTATATGCAAGATACTGTTTTCAATAAGATGAACAGGAAACTTAAAAATATCGTAATAATCCAACCAAATTTGTTTTCTCAGTTGTGAGGCTAGAAGTTGTACTTATTATTAGCTCTCGATAATGATGTCTAAGGCATCGTGTGTATACCTGATGAATATATCTAACACCACTAGAAATACATTTTGGCAAAGCTCTAAAAATTGGAAAATATGGGCTGAAATGGCTCACTTTTTGAGTGCAGTGGCTGTTCTTCCAGAGGACCCAGCTTCAAGTCTCAGCACCCAGATGGTGGCTGATACCCAACTGTAACTCCAGTTCCAGGAGATCTGACATCTTTTTCTGTCCTCTACAAGCACCAGACATGCATGTGGTAAACAGACATACATGCAGGCAAAACACCCACACACATAAAATAATTAAAATTTAAAAAGGAAACATAAGAGTAAAGCATGGCACTGCCGAAAGCTATTTTAGAGGCATCTCAAACACACCATAGTTAAATAATCTGTAATTAGTTATAGATACTAACATTTGGATTTCATATTACTACAGTAGGGAGCAATTTATTTTCCAAGTCTTTGTTTTCTTTTTCTTCTTTTAATTTCTTTTTAACCTCTGCTATTTGAAGAACAGCTGAACATTGACTATTTTGTGCTTTTACTCTTAGCTGGGATTTCATGTCAGTGTAGGATAGTTGATTCATTCTTTTGTGAGTTCTGTTCACAGTGCATAAGACCCATTTAGCAATCCTTTTGCTTAAAAAAGTAATGGCCGTAAAAATCACAAGCTTTTGTCAGGGAGAGCAGCAGTGATAAACTCATTGAGTTGTTACACAGATAGTTTACTCAAAGTCAGATTTTCTTGAGTCATAGTCTTTGGGTTTACCATCAATTATAGACTGCTAGAATGGTTAACAATGTCTCTAATTTTAAGGTCTTTTGTTTCCTTATTCTTGTATTGCTGGTGATTTTAAAGTTTCTGCACTATGAAATAGTTTTTTAACATCTTAAAATTCTGGTGATGTGTCATTTCTATATTACCTTCCCAAATATGCCTCTTATCTTTATGTTGAGGGCTCTTGGGAATTGATTCTTACAGAGGCTCAGGCTATGCTTTGCCTTTTGTGAGAACTGAAATGATTTGGTAAGCACTTGCTTTCTTTTTAGCTTCTAATTTTTCCCTATTTTATTTTGTACATGATATTTGTTTCAAGGTCAAAGGTTCCGTTACAGTTACTATGATGAATCCCAGGGGGAGATTTATAGATCCATTGAACATCTAGATAAAATGGTAAGTCTTTCAGGTGTGGGTTAATGCTCTAAAATATTTTCTTTATTCCAGATTAGTGATCGAGACTCAATATGTTAACATATACAATGGGCTAACAGTTCGTTCCCTTTCTTGAATTAAAAGTTCAAACTGCAATGTGTCCTCAAATGACTATTTCCTCTAAGAATTTTCCTTTATTATACTTCTGTTTGCTTAATGAGAATATTTAAGAGCAATCAGAAAATTTTTAATTATATTTTTGAAGAAGTATTTGGTTTAAGGGGCTGTAGCATATTAATGCTATTCCTTCTGTTAAGCTGCAACAGTAGATGATGGCCATCTCAAGTAACTTTCAGTCTTATGAACTATGTTGCTGTTCTTTGAAATTTATTAAATAACTTAGTGTTCAAGTTTTAGATATGATTTCTTAATAGGCCAAACTTATTCTTGAATGGTACTAAAGATTTTATGAACTACTTGATAAAGGATATATAACCAACCTAAAAGCGTAAGTGTATGATTGAAACTCCAGTTTTTCAGTTAATCATCCTTTTACTTCTGGAAGTTATAACATTGTAGCCCTTTCATTTTATGTTTTTGCTTTCCTATGTCTTAAACTCAGGGCAAGTGTTCTCTCACTAAGCTGCATTCAAGTTTGACAGCATATTTATTTTGACAGGTTTTAGTAATTTAGAAAACTTAAATTTTGTCTGCTGGACTGCAGGAATTTTTACAACTATATTATTAAGTTTTTAAAACTCCATAAATATTTAGTTAGGAATTAATAGTTTATTCCAAAATTTTTAAAAACCTGTACTAAAGTGAATTTACCATAGTGAAATTAATAACTTAAAATTGTTGTGATTTGAGTTTCAGTATATTTGTAAGTCCTATTGTTATATATTGAATTGTATTTTCATTTCTCATTTATCATATTCAATTTGAACGTGAAATGTCTGTGATCTTTAGCCTATGTCTATTAAGGAAACTACAGAAAGTACCTTAAGAAAACTAGATTACTTGATGAGTACAAATAATTTGCCTTTCTTCCCTTTTGTCTTTTGCTTTTTTTTTTTTTTTTGGTAGATATTTAGATTGCTTTTTTTTTGGCCACTGGGATTTCCAGTTTTGAATTTTATCTTGTTTTTCTAAATTTAAAAATTAAAAAACACAATTATTTTTTCTTAAAGTATTCATAGTCGTACTTTAAATTTAAAAAGAGAAATGATTCTGAGAATATCTGTGGGGTATAGATCTCCCCTCTACGTCAGCAGTTAGACTTGCCGTTTCCTTTGTGACTGGGACAAGTACCTGAAAGTGACTTAAGGACAGTAGGGTATGTGGACTGCATGAGCCTAAGGTGTACACCAGTGAGTAAAAGCTATCCCAGGCTAGCTCCTCTTTGAGCGTTAGCCAGACCTGAATGTGCACTATTATTAAAGAGTTATTTATTTATTAAAAAGTAACATAAGGAATATTCAGTGTAGCAGGAAGGTTACACATTTGCTTTGTGATCTCTTTCAGTTTTCTAGTACTTATTTGTCTCCAACAGTAGACCCTTGACTAGGTATCTAAGTTACTGTAGACTCTCGCTATTTACAAGTCTGTGATGTGTTTTATCAATTTTACATATTTTAGTAGAGGATAAATTTGGTCGAAAGTAATTAATATATTTAAGTAAGGAATCTGGTTTGAATTATACATACAGGAGTAGATATGGTATAGGGTTATACCTTTCAGAACTGTATCCCTTAGTCACATACCTTTATTGAGCACTGAAGTATGGGTAATGTGACTTGCTGTTTACTGCCAGTATAAAATATACATTGATTTCATTGATTTCACTTAGAATGAAACAAGCAAAACCCCCCAATAATGATTTTTGATCTTTATTGTTTAATGAAATCAAAATGTAATAGTTTGTGTTAAATATTTTACAGTTAATTTCACTTTCATTTTATCTTTTAACACAGACACTAAATTTTTTAATTTACATATATGGCCTACATTATAGTTTCATTGTTCATTTCTGGTTTAGAGCACAAAGGTATGTCTGGATGGTGGTAAACGTTAAAATTTTTTTTTCTTTAAGATATTTTGAGAGGTAGGTCTTACTATGTAGCTTTGTCTGACTAGAAACTTACTATGTGGCCCAGATTATCCTCAAACTCAGCATTCCGCTTGTGTTAGGGTTCTAGACATGAGTTACTCTGCTCGGCTGGATATAAACATTGGAAGTCATTGCTGTGTGAAGGGCAGGTAGAAAGGAGGGTAGTCATTGTCATTGTCTAGAGAGAATGGAGGGGAAGGAAAGGGTAGTTAGGTCAGAGAACACACTGGCGTAAGTGGTGAGCAAGTCAGAGAAAAGCCAGTAAGAGTTCTGCCTGGGGGAACTAAAAATGCCTGATGAGAGGAGATAGCCTTTTCACTAGCAGGGACAAGACTATCAAGTTCAGAAGAATTAAGTTAGAAGTACAATTGGAGCAAAGAGGTGTCCAACTGGCAAGAATGTTGTCTGTCGGTTTGACTGTGGCAGGAAGGAGGAATATGTGACTGGCTGGGATGAATTGATCCTTTGAGCATAGTCAGAGGAGGACTTGGTCTTTCCCCATTTCTTCCTACTTCATATATTCTTTGGACAATATCCATCCTTTATAGAACAGTGATATAAAGCCTCCACTCATACCTAACTTTGCGTTCTAAATCAGGATGGGAGTTGAGATCATTTCAAAATCCACAGTAGTGTTAATCACTAAATCTCAGAGTTTTTTTTTTACTCTCAAAATATTATCATTCATATGATTCCCATTCCACCTGGCTTACTTCTTCATTTCTTCTATTCATTTAGGAATGATTATCTAGAGGCTGGGGCTTGGTAGCTCAGTAGTAGAGCAACATGCTTAGTGTGCACAAGCTCTAGTTTGTGCTTTTGTCCACAGATGTCTGTAAGGAAGAATGACTGTTTATGTGTGAAATAGGATCTACTTGTTAGTGGTATGCGTGAGATTTCCTTTTCATTAGAATTGTCTTCATTTGTTTATTTTTAAGCTGGCCTCAGACTTGCAAACCGCCTTATCCTGATAGGTATATGCCAGAACATGCCTCAACATCAGGCTCAAAAGGTGCCTTAGCACCCAAAAATTTCCAAAGCAAGTAGCCTTCCTTGAAGTAGGTAGGTAGATAGATAGGGGTGTGTGTAGTGCATGTGTATATTTACCAGTAGTTTGCATTTAATTTTATAAAACAGTACCTTTAGCACCAAAACCAGTAAAAGTATCTTGATCCAGTACTGTTCTTTCAAACTCCTTGTTTACCCAGCTTAGTATTCACTGGAAAGTCATATAAACAGTTTCCAAACTCAGCATGGCAACAATTAAAACTTCAGATTTTCTCTTGAAAGTTTGTTTCTACAGACTTTTTCAGCAGCTATTGTCATTTTCAATTTCAAATAGCTGACAATAAAGCCCAAACAGATTCCCTCCTTCTTCTAGGGTTTCTGTGTGCATCCCTAGTCACTCTGTAGACCAGACTGGCCCTGAACTCATAGAGATCCCTTCGCCTCTGCCTCCTGAGTGCTGGGTTAAAGGTGTGTACCACCACCTCCTGGCCCCAAACAGATTTGTAGAAACTCACATTAGATTGTGTTATTCTTCTGGCTCAATTCTTTAATATTGTCCTGTTTCAGTAGAATCCATATGTTTACTCACATCAAATGACCTAAAGGGATCACCATGATTTGCAAGCCTACTTCTTTTTTCTTTTCCACTTCTTTCTCTGCTATGGACAGACTATTGGTTGATACTGCCACACACGTTTCCAGCTTCTGTATTTTGTTCTTTTTGTACTTAACTATTGCTTATCATATCTCAAGTCTTTGCTTAGATTTTGCTTTTTAAATACAGGGTCCAACTATATAGCTTTGACTAGCCTTGAACATGAAAAGAACCACCTGCTTCTGCTTCCCCAGCACTGGGATTAAAGGCATGTCCACCATGCCTGGCTTCTTTTTTTGGGGGGGGGGGTTTCGAGACAGGGTTTCTCTGTATTGTTTTGGAGGCTATCGGTCCAGCCCAGCCTCGAACTCACAGAGATCTGCCTGCCTCTGCCTTCCGAGTGCTGGGATTAAAGGCGTGCGCCACCACCGCCCGACTTCATGCCTGACTTCTTATCTAGCTCGAATCCTTCTAGTAGGGTCTGCTGGCCCGCCTTGTTTACTTTATGCTTGCAATTCATCCTTCCAGCACTTGTTGCCTAACTGCCTTCGTCTGTCTCACTGTTAACTTGTAAGAACCACATTTTCTGATATATCCAAAGGGCCTGGAATAGTGATTAGAACATAAAAACTCACATATATTTTAAACGAATGAATATATTTTTCTTGTATACACAATTAAAAACATGAACACAGTGATATGAAAGTAAAATAAAAGGAAGGTAATTTGTAATAAATTAATGTTTCAGATGTCAGTGTTCAGACACAGCTATGTTAGAAGGCACAATGAAGTAGTTAGATACTTGTGTATATAGAGTACCAGTAAAACAGCAGTAAACACAGACTTCTGCATGGCTGATGCCTTTGTTGCTCAAATTATTATTTGGCATTGCTGGGTGACTAGATTTTTTTCCTCCCAAAAAGTGAATAATTCTTAGTAAATAACAGAAACTGCAATATTTCCTCACTTTAGATTATGATTCCATCCCTGGAAAATTCATTCTTTATTAAAACCATGCAAAACTTTTTCTGTTGTTATGGGAGGTAGAAATTGTACAGGTAATTAGGAATTTTACCTAAGTTACATGTCTGAAGTCTTATGGGTAGAAAACAGTTATTTGTATATAGAATTTTCCTATATCAGCATCCTTGTGATCCTACCAAACCTTACTTGGTGTTGGGGACAACCAAAAATATGTTCGTACTATTTGCTTATGGTCTTCCTGTGAACAACTATGTTAGCTTTCCCGGCTTATTTCTACTTTTAATTCTTCTGCTATGTGACTTACCATTTCTTTATTTTGTTTGGTGACTAACTTTCATATATCTGTTGTCTGTCTGTCATCTATATGTCTGTGTTGTAATTCACAGTATAAGCTTATGTCAAGTACTGAGTGTACTGTTGTAATTTACATGGTTTTGAAAATCACTCTGTTGGTTGTAGAGAAAGATTCTACAAGATTAGGTGTGGCAAACAACAGGCCGTTTGGCATTTTCAGGGAGGAGATGATAACTTGGAGATGGTGGCAGTGGGGTTGAAAAGAAATGGTCACGGTAAGATTTAAGAGCCGGAGGCAGAGGGACTTTGCTAGTAGACCGTCTACTGGTTGCAGTTCAGGGAGATAGAGTTTGGGAATGATGGGAAGTCTGCAGCCACGAAGAGATGGCCCGTGGTGGGAATAGTTAAACAACCGTCAATACACTGAATTTACCCATGGGACCCTGAGAATAGAGCTGTCCATCCCGACCCCTTCTGTAGCATTAGAATTTCAGCATCTTCCTCACTAACTCTGTTGGTGACTCTGTGTTAACTGCCTGATCTGGTGACTTAGATCATGGGCAGGCTTCTTAGAACTTTTCCCTGTGTAGCTCAGAAAGGAGAGTTGTGTTTATTACATGAGTGCTTGTATATAGAGAACCAGTAGCCCCAGGCTAACCTCTAAGTCTGCCCCATATTTCCTTCCATTAAATGACTGATTACCAAAACCTTACTTGAAACTTTTATTTTAAAAAGCCGGGCGGTGGTGGCGCACACCTTTAATCCCAGCACTCGGGAGGCAGAGGCAGGCGGATCTCTGTGAGTTCGAGGCTGGGCTGGACCTACAGCCTCCAAAACAACACAGAGAAACCTTGTCTCGTAAAAACCAAAAAAAAAAAAAAAAAAAAAAAAGCATGGGATTGTACTTCAAAATAAATTGAATATTTGTTGTATGTTGGTGTGCCATCACCAACATATTTTATTTACATACAAATACTAAAAAAAATCTACCAGAAACACTTCTGTTGTCAAGTATTGAATAGAGTATGTTCAACCTATAAGAGCTATCCAAATTCAAAGACAGTAGACTAAAAAGTCTTTAAGTTTATAAGAGTTTGAATTGTGTTTGTTCAGAATTATTGAGTTAATCAAGTTTGGTTTTGTTTTCTAATTGGGAAAGAATCTTACTATTGTTCTTAAAATGTTGGAAAGTAAGCTATTTTTAAGTTGCAAAAGAACAAAATCTGTTCTTTCTAAAGAAAATATTCACAGCTGTAAGCTTTGAATGTCTGAGAAACTAATTATGAAAATACACAGAAAGATAAATGTTTATAGGAAAAATATGTCTTATAAATGGTATAGTATAAAAAGTAACTAGTATAGAATTATAGACTTTGAAAGTTGTATTATTTTATTTGCTTTTTTTGGTAAATAGTACTTTGTAATTTCAGTGTTTATACTGACAAGTAGAATGTGTGTATTTTAAGTCATTGATCTTGTAAATTTTTGATTTTTTGAAATATTAGCTATATTTACATGTATTTTCAATATAGTATGTGGTATCATTTTTACTATACTAATTTTTGGGAGTATACATTTTTACTATTATAATTTGAGGAGTTTTCGTTACTGATATCAGCAAGTTATTTGGTAGCGAGAATCTAAAAATGTCATTGCAGCCATTCAATTTATTAATTTATTAATCACTTTGTTTAATTTGAAAAGCAAATACTTTCCTTTCTTCCTGCTATTTTGGAAGGAGAAATTGTTAGTCACAATTTACTAAGTCATGCTTCTTTCTCTTGAATTTATACTATATCTTCTTTATTATTTGGCCTCATTCTTTGTAAGGTAGCCACTTACTAGTGCATGGTTCTTAACATTGCTACCTTACAATAGGGTTTTGTTTTGTTTTGGTCATGTTAAATTCCTCTTCAGGAAGCTAGGACATTTCCTTTTCCTTAATGTATATCTATCTTTAAAAGAATGGATTACTTCATGTGATGATTAATTATAATTGGTCATTATTAAAAAGGCATGGTTTTTCTTATTTATAAATGCATATAAAATATGTTACTCTTGTGTTTGCTATTTTAATAAGATTTACTTGTGTTATAATAGCTATTTTGTTTCATGTAGATACATTTTTGCTTTAAAAGTGGGAAGGTACTTATCAGAATTTTGAATTTTCAACTCTTTCAGTATCACCTGTTCAGTTTCAGATTGACCCTTAGGACCTGACATCATGGGTTTTTAGCCATTGTTTAGAGAGTCGGTAAAGTGATACAAGTTAGGACTTTAGCATGTGTTCTGCAGATTTCTAGCTAAACTGTTCAATTATGAAGTATTTCCACACTCGTGAGGGATTGATAGGCTTTGGTGTTTCTAGTATCTCTTTCTAACCTGAAGCTGAAATGTGTTGACTCATTTCATTGCATATGGGATTTATGTAAATAGTTAAGTTTTTAACTATATGAAGCCCTAGGGAGCTTTCAGTTGCCTGGTTTTTAACTCACTAATCACACCTTCCAGGGCTGTTAAGAATAGGTAAGTTACCTAGGCATACTTGGGAAGCATTTTGTTTTTTCATCGTTTTGGAATTTGGATAATAGTGTTGAATTAGCATTTTTTTTTTTTTAGAATTTTGGTACCAGTAATTTTACACTTATCATCAAGTATATGTGATATGTTTGTTAGTATTTTGTACTGGTCACTGGATGTCCCATTTTATAATTTTATCCTCATACTTTTATTTATGTACTTTGTAAATTATCTGGGTTGGAGAGGTTCACTCATGAGAAAAGCTCCCATTCCCTCTATCTTCTCTTTATAAGACATGCCATTAAATCATCATGTTTGTCATAGGTTTGAATGGGATGGAATTAATTCCTATCTAGTAGGCACTTAACACACTTAAAGAATTAAAATTTTTAATACATTTTATCGCTTGATTTCCATTGTATTTTCCAGTTTATCTTTATAATTTAACCAGTTTAATCTTCATTTTGAGCTTCTTATTTAGTAGTATCTTCTCTACATTTGTAGTATTTTATCTCTTCATTAAGGGTTTCTTGGTCAGTTACTTAGATTCCTTGCTTTAAATGTAATTCATTTTCTTCTCTTAGAATGCCTATCAGTATATAAGTATGATACTTGTTCCAAATATGCTTGGAGATATTATTACTAAAGTGTATGTTGCAGCTTCTCATCCTAGAGCTTATTAAAAGTGGATTCTATTTATGGCTAGCTGTTCTAGCCTTCATTCAGGAGCATTAAACTTCTCATAATGTGTGCATAATTGTAGTTAAGTCAATGTTTGAAGAATCATTAGTGTAATTCTTGTTATACTGTGATAAAGCCAGTGATTATTGAGACAGAGCCTAGGATTAGGAACTTTTTGTGCCCATTTTCATGCATAGGAAAGTTATATCTTGACTATCCATATTTCTGGAAAAGTTATAATTCCATCTTAGTATTACTGCTTGCTGGTTTGGAATGATAGTTTCTTTGTACTATATTGTATATTTTAGGCTTAACTTTAATATTTCTTTAAGCTTGAATCAAATGTTATTGTTGACTTGAAAAAGTTCCCTGCTTGTCAGGAGAAAACCAATATAGCATTAAAAACTAGTTACAGATTGGTTAATTAGTGTATAAGCAAAGTGATTCTAGACTCATATTCTTAAGTGTTATTCTGGAATAGATAATGTGGATATTTTGAAAAAGTTTCTTACACAGTTAAGGTTTTGAAGTTTCTACTATAAAGCTTTATGTCACTTATTAACAACTGCCATTCCCAGATGACTTTATTTAGTCATTTGTCTGGTGTTTTCTGTGCTTCTAGGCTGTTAAGGCACGAGTAGATTGTAGCAATCACAGAATTTGTCAGTTAAGGCCACTGAAATGACCACTTAGATTTCTCTCAGAAGACATTAATCTAGTATATTGAATATGAAGGGGTTGATCTAGATAAAATAATGTATGGTTGTGTGTGCAAATTAGATTCAGTGATTTGCTATCTCAGTAAACAAAGCTGCTCTGTTTTAATGGATTAAAGATGTTGTATGAGCTGGTGAAATGATTCAGCAGGTACAGATACTTGCAACCCAGTCTTCCTACCTGAGTTAAGCCTCTGGAACCCACATGGGAGAAGGAGAGAGCGAGTCCCACAAACTGTCCCCTAGTTTCTAATTCATGCCATGACAAGTGATTGGCTGTAGGTTTTTTTTTTTTACCTGTGCATGTGTGCATATACATAAATAAATATCAACAACTAAAAGATGTGAATGATGGTTTGTTTAGCAGTACTCTATCTAAAATTTCTTAATTACAGTCTTCAAAGCCACTGATTTAAAACAGAGAGTGAAAAGCTTTCCATCTTAGAGAGACTCACACTGGCCTGTCACTAAACTCCTCATCAGCCTTAGGAATGTTGAATAAAATATGTTAAGTATTTTCTTAGATTGTTGTATTTTATCAGGTATCTAGATAACCCCTGGCTGTTTAAAATGTTACACAGCTGTCAGTCAAACTTACAGCTTTAAACAGCTATCAATCAAAAATTTTCAGATTTTTTTGTGTGAAAAATTTTTACAGATTTGCTTTTGTAACTCCTTTATGTAAAATGTGTTGTGAGGTAAAGGTGATTTATATAAGCATCTAAACTTAGAAAATAACCTAGAGCTTTCCTACAAATGGTTAATTATTATAAGATTACATTTCACGAATGATTTTTTAAATAATTTCCAAGGATTGCTTAATGTGTTTTGTCTATTTTTAATTGAGAACTTTATAAGTAAATTTAAAATATAATTAAGAAATAATAAATTTTGTCTTTTATTTCTTTTTCTTTTTTTAGGGTATGAGTATTATAGAACAATTAGATCCTGTATCTTTTAGCAATTATTTGAAGAAATATCATAATACTATATGTGGAAGACACCCCATTGGGGTGTTGTTAAATGTGAGTATCCTTGGGAAGCCTTGACCTTTAGCATCTGATGCTGTCCTATTTCAAGATATTTACACTGTTCAATTCAGTACATCTGTTTCTTCTGGTACCTTAACATAATTGTAGGTTTCTATTATTTGTTTATTTGAATAAATTTATCACTGGAATACCATCAGTAATTTCTCTTAAGTTTTGAAGATTGCCATATCTTCTCTTGACTCAGTCAGTGCTGATCGCTTGCTTTTCTTTTTCTGAAGATTGAGTTTCAGGTTTGTGTATCTGGAGATATGAATGTTCTAGACACTCTGAGAAATTAGATGGATGCTCTTCCTGATCTAATGCTGCAAAAAGATCATGGTTTTTTTTTTTTTTTCTCTTAAACAATAGTGGTAAAAATTAACTTTGTTTACAAAGTGTCAGGAGGAGCCAGGCATAATGCCAAGTCTTTAATCCCAGCACTAGGGAGGCAGAGGCAGGCTGATGGATCTTTGTGAGTTTGAGGCCGCCTGGTATAGGTAGTGAGTTCCAGAACAGCCAAACCTACATAGTTGAGACCCTGTCTCAAAATAGCCAAAGGAGGAACGGGGGGGGGGGGGGAGAGGAAGAAAGAAAGAAAAAAAGAATCCCAAGAGAAAAATTTTGGTTTAGTTGGATTTTAGAAAGCTAAATTATATTTGTTTACTCCCTAATAAATATGAGTTTCCTTAAAGAATATGTACCACTCTTTAAGAAGAATGAGCGAATGTCTTCTTAGGAAGACACAGTGGGCTCGGTTGATTTGTATGGAAAGGGTTAGAAGAGGCGGAGCCAGCAGGTGAGACAAGAAGCTTGAAGGAGTGGGATTTGATAGCTTCATATATTTTATGGATTCTTAAGAAGCCTTTTTATCTTGTTAAAGTAGTTCATATTGATTGAAGAAAAAAAAGCCTGTCAAGGACCTAAATTAATTTCTGGAACTTAGGTTAGTGTATGCTGCACTAATCTTTTAGAGTCTGCATTGAATCAAATAGAATTATTTTTGATTTTTTTTTGTATGAAAGAAATTGCAAACCAGTATATAATTAAAGTAAAAAATTATACCATACATTTGTATCTGTGAGTTAAATAGACATTTCAGACTCAGTCAGATGAATAAAGCCTTTATCATATTAAGGTGGGAAGCCAAGATCTAGAGAATAGAGGAAAGCGTACGTCAATTATTTATAAGCTAGGTTAGGACATACTCTTTGTGGGAATGAAATAGCAAGTTTTTTCTCAATCTGGGTTAGGAAGCAGACATTCTAGAAAGGGTCATACAAGTTGATTGTGAAATGTGCAAAGTCAAACTCCCAGTGTTTACAGTATTCAGTTTTTATGTGATGTGTGTCATAATCAGCTTTTCCTTTTTGTAGGCTATCACGGAGCTCCAGAAAAATGGAATGAATATGAGCTTTTCCTTCTTGAATTATGCCCAGTCGAGCCAGTGTAGAAGCTGGCAAGACAGTTCAGTGAGTTATGCAGCTGGAGCACTCACGGTCCACTGAAGCTCCGACCCTCAGGGACGCCACCTGCACAGACTCACTCTGTCCGGGGTCCAGCCTAGCCTTTACCAAGATGTTGGTTCTGGTGTGGGGGGATTCTGAACCTCAGACTAATAGAGCTCTCGTATCTTCTTTTTCTAGTAGGTGTAGTCCTCCTTAATTTCAACTCATTTAAAGATGCTTTATAGTTTGGGGCAGTGGAAGGAAGGCTGGAATCAGAATATTTTGATTAAAAAAAAAAGATGACAATGTAAAGGCCCAATTGGCATACAGTTTTTGAAAATGACTTGTAAAGCATTTAGCATATCTGAAATTTGCACTCTTTGCAGACTCATGCACTTATATTCCGCTTTCAGGATAGTTTTGCAGATTGTACACAGACAAAAAGGGTGGAAGCTTTTTAATAAAAGAAATTGCATTTATAAATGATCTGTATTAGAATATAAGAAATCTCCAGTTATAGACAATTACTACCCATGTTGTACAACAGATACCTTCTATTTTAGTTGCTAATAAAGGGCTACACAACTCAAATAGTCTGATTTAAACTTATTGCTTTGTGGTATAAATGGAAATTGTTTTTTATTAATTCCATCTCAGAATTTTTGTTGAAATGGCAAGCCTCAGCTCCTATGTAAGAACACTAGAATATATTTTTACATTTATGTGATTTTTTTAAATCACAGAAATTATAGTCATATAATTTTAAAGTTAACTTTCAGAATTATAGTTATTTGCCTTTTTGTGTCTGACATACCCTCGTGTCATGATTATATTGTAGTAGAATATAAATTCAAGGATGCTTTAAAAACAAATACATTTAGTCCTTTACTTCAAATACTGTGTTTGACAGTCTGCAAATGACGAAACATTGAAGAGTGTTATTAGTGTGTTTCAAGTCATTGCAGACCATACACCACTATGTTTTTTTTTTTAACCGCTTTAAGCAATTTGACTCTTTTACTTGAATTTTTAGCAAGAAATAATTGACATTAGCAGTAACAAGGCCTACTGGACTTGTGGTAGTCCTGCAAAAATTTTTTTTGGGGTGGGGGCATGATTTTTTGGTGCGGCTCTTCCAACTAAAATAATGGTATGGTGTTGTATTTCTTTATCATAGATTTATTCTAGTCATTTTGGCAAAAAAAAAGTGTAATTCATTAAGCCATCGTGCATGTTCTCCATTATACCTATTTTAACGTAACACTGGGTATTTATATCACTTTGGACAGTGTTTATATCTTCAGTGTTATGCCCAAGTAGCACAATTTTTAGATGCCTTGCACCAATTTTCTTTGGAGATTTGCATTTCTTATTTAATAAATACCAATTTTATATACTCAAGAATAAGAGAAAAGATTCTAAATTACCTACTTATACATGTAGGGATTATACTCTTATACATGAATGATTTATTTATTGTCCATTATTTAGATATGCTTTTGAGTATTATAAATATTCTTTGTTTAATACAGATTATAAAAATTTCTGAATTGACAATAGTGAATTTTTGAAATAATGTTTTCTGAGTATAAAATTTTAAAATACTGAAAAGTCAAAAGAAAAAAAATTACCTACAATCTCACTACCCAGAGATACACTGTTAAATGTTTTCCTGTATTTACTTTTAGTCCTTGTGTTGTTTATGAGTGTGTATGTGTTTGTGTGCACAATAACGGAATTGAGATTATAATGCTTATACAGTTGCATTATGCCCTGTTATCCTGAGTACCTACTACCTATGTCTTTGAAAACGCAATTTAAAAATGACTGCCTAATGTGTTACACTGTATGAAAATAATTAGTTCTCTCTTTGAATGTTAGGCAGTTTCTATTCTTCCACAATTTTATAATGGGATGGACATTCTATGTAAAATCTTAACTCTATATTAGACACATTCTCTAGGACATAATCATGAAAATGAAATAAGCGGTTTACATGGTAAGAATTTCTTAGGCCCTTTAAAATATGCCAGATTGTGTTTCTAATTGCACCAAATTAACAGTACCCTCTATCAGCATCATTTCTTCTAATTTTTGACAAATTGTTAAACAAGTAACTGGTTGTTTCTTTTTTATTAGGAGTTTGTTTCTAATTGATCATTTATTGTCTTTCTATAAATTTAGCATGGCGTTTGAAAAATAACATAAGAGAGATAGATGTCTGTCTTAGAAGTGTGTTACTCTGTACAGTTTTGTTTCCTCGTTTATTTGCTTTGAGACGTGGTTTGCCTGTGTAGACCATACTGACCTGGAACTCTGTAGCCCAGGATGGCCTCAGACTCATGTATGAGCCTTCTTCCTCAGCCTCCAGAGTGCTGGGATTGAAGGTGTTAGTACTGTGTCTGTCTTGTACTGCACTTTTAAAACTAGAATATTCCAACATCAGTTTGTCCTTTCTTAGAATGACAGTTTTTTTGTTATTTTTTAATCACCTATTTTTGGAGTAGAAATGGTTCTAAACTGATATTGTGTTCAGTTCTAGTTCTATCTCTGACAGTAACTAAATGTTTCCTGATGTGATTTTCCCTGTCCTGCTGAAGCTTCCTCATCTGTGCAGTGTGCAGATGACTCTTAAGTACCTTCTCGTTTCAGAGTGCTGGCTTTGCGACTTTAGTCTTTAATAGATTTGGTGTAACACTTTAGATAGGTGTATGATTGATTTAGGTATTTTTATTTCAACTCTACATATGAAAATGAAAGTGAAATCCTTGTTATTTTAGAGAAAGCGGGACTTAATTGACTATTAATATAACAATAACATCTAAATTATTGGACTTAGCCTTCCTATTTTAAGTGCCTTTAAAAGTTTTGTATTTCTAATATAAAATGTGAAATTATCATGTAGTTCTATAATACAGTTCCTTTGTTAAAAACTTATGAATTATTTTCAGCAACCTTTTATTTTCCTTCGATCATATAGAAAAGTGTATTCGTGGAGTCCCCTCTCTCCCACTTGTCAGTTCTTAAGAAATGTTACTCTAGAGATAAGATAATTGTACAGGTAAGTAAGTACTCTGCCCTGGAAATAACAGGCTGCCATAAGAATAAAGAACCAATGAAAGTCCAATGCTTATATTTGTATATTCCAGTATGGATGTTATTTCCTGAGCTCTTATTAGTGGTTTGACTATAGCTATCATAGTTTGCTTTGGAAGCATGTAGTTCATTCCCTTAGATTAGGGTTTGGTAAATGTTTTCTGTGAGGGACCAGATAATTATTTTTTACTTTATATGCCACAGTGGTCTCTGATCTGCCATTGTAATACAAAAGCAGCCATAGACAACATGTAACCAAACAAGTGTATATATGTTTAATAAAATTTAATTTATACTAAGATGGAATGCTGGAGTTGGCCTGCAGACCATAATTTAACATTTCTTATCCTAGATGGTGTAATTGGCTAGCAGTCTAGCAATAGTCTGCAACAGGTGGTTACATGTTTCTGCCATGTGAACCTTCTTTTAATTTGATGCAGTGTCAGTGGCTGGATTTTTACTGAATGTTCACAAAGGTAAGTGGGAAGTAGGGAAAAATTAGGAACTCATAGAAATTAATGTCAACACCTTGAAGTCTTTATATTTGCAGAAGTACATTGGGTTTATTTTGCTGCTGTTTGCCTTGCTGTGTAGCCAAGGCTGTCCTCAACCTCCCTAGAGTTGGTATTACAGGCCTGTCACAAGTGAACTGTTTCACATGAGTATTTCAGGATAACAGACAGATACCTTAAAATTGTTGCTGACTTTTGCCATATAAAGACTTGAAAAAGTACCCTTTTCTATCACTCTTATTTTATTGAAACAGTGACCTCTAATAAATTCAGAATAAAGGAGAGAAATTTATTTCAAATAATTCTAGTCGTACTACTGTTTCATCATTGAGGACCACAGAACACCTTGTCAGATGGGACTGTCAGCCCTGCAGACATAGGCATTATCAAATGTTGTTTATAGTTGCCAGAGCAACTAGTTATTAGAAACTGTACAGAGGAGACTTAATAAACCACATTCATGCTCTTGTTTAGACTGGAAATTGTACATCATTGGATTAAATCTGAAGATCTACACAGTAAGAGAAACAGAAAGGCCTGTGTGTAACATGATGTAGTTGAGGGAATAGGTAACATTTATTTTTGAAGAGTAAGTTTATGGAGAAGAGGTCTTCAAATATTTTTGTGACTGCCACTCAAGAGGACTAAAATAGTTCTGTGTTGTTCTAAGTTAAACTTTTTTTTTCCTTTAATCCCAGCACATGAAGGGCAGAGGCAAGTGGATCTCTGTAAATTTAGCCAGTTTGGTGTATGTAGCAAGTTCCAGGCTAGCCAGGACAATGTAGTAAGACCCCATCTCAAAAAAACAAGGAGTAGGAAGCATAAGTTTCTGGTCCACATTAAATAACATTTTTGATGATGATAATTGGCTGTTCTCATCAAACCACTGGAAATATTCAAACAAAAACTAGATCAGTGATTCTCCAAGCAGGGAAACTGTTTTATGAATAGTTGTGTGTGTGTGTGTGTGTGTGTGTGTGTGTGTGTGTGTGTGTGTGTGTAGATGGACAAAAGCCAATGGAATTAGTATAACTGAATAGAAGTTCATTTGTATGAAGTATTATTTTCAAATAAAAATAGATTTTAAACAGTATTAACTTTTAAAAGATTATGAATTGTTAAAATGATGCTTGGAGCTTTTGGCTAATAATTTAATTTAAAGATGTCATTACAAAGCAAAATCTGTCAGTTTCTAATACACATTGAATTTTTTTTTGTTTTTAAATTGCTGCTTTCTCAAACTTCTTCAAACTGATGAAGAACAGTTATATCAGGATTGTGTACTGAAGGGTGCTCTTTTCTTATACTTTAGCACTGTCAAAATATTAGGGGAGCTAGCAGCAGCAGGGAGATAAATTTCCTGTCATTTTCTATTAAGGCCAGCATATTCCTGCAAATAGGATCACATTGCATGGCATATTATTACTAGAGAACATCCTATTTTATAAATGGCTCCCCCAGTAATGCTGATACCTGAGACCTTGGCTTCCTTAAAATTGTTAGGGATAGAGTCAGGCGTTGGTGGCGCACGCCTTTAATCCCAGCACTTGGGAGGCAGAGGCAGGCAGATCTCTGTGAGTTCGAGGCCAGCCTGGTCTACAAAGTGAGTTCCAGGACAGTCTCCAAAACAATACAGAGAAACCCTGTCTCGAAAAACCAAAAAAAAAAAAAAAAAAAAAAAAAATTTTGTTAGGGATAAATTCTGTTTGCCTAGCCTTATCTTCCTGAGTTCTTAGAACTATGTTTTGAGGTCAATGTCTCCAATAGCATTTATTCTAGGGTTCACTGGTGATTTCAGACTGGTCTATATCTAGGGTCTATTGTGTTTCTATTTTCTCTCCCTCCCTCCCTCCCTCCCTCCCTCCCTCCCTCCCTCCCTCCCTCCCTCCCTCCCTCTCTCTCTCTCCTCCCCTCCCCTCCCTCCCTTCCTCCTTCCTGTGTGTGTGTGTGTGTGTGTGTGTGTGTGTGTGTGTGTGTGTGTGT